TTTAATATGGATGCGTGCACTTTATTTGACTACTTTCAGACTGTTAAACAAAAACACCCACCCATGCCAGTATAAAGCTTGGAAAAGCAAGGATAATTTTTAATATAACTCCAATTGGATTTGTCTGAAAGAAGAAAGCCATATACACCTAGGATGCCTTGAGGGTGAGTAAAACAAGGGCAAATTTTTATTTTTGGATGAACTAACCCTTTAAACAGGAAAATAGTGTTTGAATGATGCAAGCAATTCAGTTCTTCTGTAGAGCAGCTCTGAAAGCAGGACAATAGTAAACAGTCAGTTTTTCAGTTAACGCTGTGATGTGTGACCGGTGCTTCACGTGATCATCTGCTTAATCTACTTTTGTGTTTTGGCTGGGGCTAAGCGCTTCTCATATCACAACTGTTCAGTGTTTTCATCCATATAATGATTATTTTAGGTTTTAGGCATTTAAATACATATGTACTAGCAAAAAATGCACTTACAGTTTATAAAATACACACTGATGTCTATGGAAGCTGCAATAATGATCCTTACAAATATAATTTGACTATGTTTTATTGATGTCAAATATACATTGTGTCATTTACAACGTTTGCTGTAATTTGAAACTTGCTTTTAATGTCTTTGAAGAGCAGAGCACGAGTATGTGTTGTCAATCCTACAGCTCAACATTAATTAACATGGCAGCACGGTCATTGCAAAGATGTTAAACTACCCACTACATTTACTTGCACATATTGGAGAATTGGAATATCAGATATTTCATCATATAGCTAACATGTTTGTGAATATTTTGAATAAAAAAGGAGAAATGAAAGCGTTACATCACTCATGCACATCTGTCGTGGCTGCGTTGTCACGTGACATGTCGCCATGGAAACAGGCGATACATTGTAAAATAGTGGTCGCTGTCACATGTGAAAGGGTTAAAGTCAGTTCATTGCTAGTTCAGTTCAATAACCAAGTAAAGCTCATCAATGATGGAACAAGTTCAGTTCATCTATAAAGCAGCTCTGGAGAAAACCGTTCAGTTCTCTTCCAGTAGTGTCTGCAATCAAGCTGATTGGTCTGTTAATCTCTTGCACATGTGAATGTTTAATCTACACAGTTTCCCAGAATGCCATGCAGCAGAGTTCAGTCCTCTAGCTGTTGCAGAGGAGGGGAAGCACCTCATCACCTGCATCCCTGGAGTCACTATCGTAACGGCCCAGAACGGCTTCAAGATCATCAAGTGGATTCACAACAAACTCCCGCCGCCCAACACAGGTGTGTGTGTGTGTGTGTGTGTGTGTGTGTGTGTGTGTGTGTGTGTGTTTTCTCTCGCCATCACCACTGCGTAAGTGAAAAAGCCCATGTGTGTTTGTCAGATCCATGGCTGCAGCGCAGTAAGAGTCCGGTTGGGAACCCACAGCGGATCCAGTTCAGCCGAGAGATGGTGGATCTGATGAAGAACCAGCAGTCCTGTTTGGTGCCCATCACAAAGTTCATTCCAGCATATCACCACCATTTAGCCAAGCAGTGCCGTGTGTCCGACTACGGATTCTCCAAACTGCTGGAGCTGCTGGAGGCCGTTCCTCACGTGCTGCAGGTCTGAACACAAGCACAGCTTTTCATTCAGTTCGCAGTTTTAACATCTGTTTGACATTCTCTGTGATTCCTCAGCCACTTTAAAATATGTATATATGTATGAATATATGTGTGTGTGTGTGCACAGATCCTGGGTCTAGGTCTCAAACGCTTCACTCAAGACCTGCTGAAGTTTCAGGCCAGTAAACCGGTAGTGATCGGGGACTTCACGCAGGCGTATCATTGGTGAGCATCTCAGTACGCCGTCTCTCTGTGCTGCTGAAGCGTGAGGCATTGCTGCTTCATCCTGATCTGTGTGTGTGTGTGTGTGTCAGGTGTTTCTGTGGTGGATTATGGGATGTGTGATCTGATGGACCTGCTTGCCAGACACGACGATCACAGTCTCTCAGCAGGACGCTGACATGCTCATCTCTGTTCCTAAGAGAGGTGAAGCACTGCTGCAGAGGCTTGAACGTTTCCGTGGTTTGTTTGTGTGCTGTATCACACTTGCAACACGCTGCATCTCAAGAGTGTAAAACTCACGGCTGGAATACATTACACAACTTATGAACCGATATTAAAGCACTAGACAGTACACTCTTTCTGACCTTATGAATGTTTACAGACGAGAGCTGTGCATCATACGCTAAACAGGCTTTCACAAAAAAAGAGATGTGTTAAAATGAAAACAATGTATTCTAGAATCGGCTCCAAATATCAAGCGTGTCTGATATCGATCTGCAGTATGAAGTCTTGTGTCCATCATGCACTACGTGATTTTCTCGGTCAGCTCCGACTGCCCAAAACCTGCAGACTGGCTCTGACTTTTAGTGTCTAGACTGCAGATGGGAGGGAATCTGAGCAAAAGGGGTTTGGTGCATTCCAGCCTTCAGAACAAACCTAACAACGCACGTTGATGAGCTGTGTGACGCTACCTTTCTTCATGGTTTCACTGTGGATCTTGAAGGAATCATACAGTAACGAATGCTAAACATCCATGATTTGTTTCTCTTCATCCATCTTTGAGCACTAGTTTGGTCTGATGAGATTTCAGTGTGGGCGGGACTAGTCAGCTAACACCACAGAAATAACCGACAGCTAGATGTAGAGCATGTTGCGGTCGTGACTGGTCAGGCCACGGTGTAACTCTGACACACAGGGTCTGTGCTTTCTGAATGGGTCTGTCTCCCTCAGAGCGGACGGCAGAGGAGCTGGAGCGCATGCGGCAATTTGGCAAAGAGGTGGTCGATCTTCTGAGACATCAGACTCACTTCCGGATGCCCTTCAGCAAATTCATCCCCACGTATCACCACCACTTCGGACGCCAGTGCAAGCTCTCCTACTACGGCTTCACCAAACTCATGGAGCTGTTTGAGGCCATTTCAGACATTCTTCTGGTCAGTACACGAGCGCGGATGTGAAGGTGCTGGAGCGCTCGGCAGCAGTCTCTGACACGCTGTGTTTGTGTCTCAGGTGCTGGAGTGTGGAGAGGAGGAGCGTGTGAAAGCGTTAGCGGCTCAGCTGGTGAAGCTGCTTCGAGCCCAGAGAGACTCCGGCCTAGCTGTCAGTCAGCTGTTGAGTGAATACAGCAAGACGTTTGTCTACAGCCTCCGCCTGCAGGACTACGACGCCGCCACGCTGCCCGCCCTGCTCAACAAACTCTGCCACGTGGTGAAGGTGAACGTCATTTCCTTTCATTGCGCTGATAAGCCTCCTTAAAAGCTGAAGACATTAAAGGTGTGGTTGAACTTTCGTGTGTAATGTTGCTGTTAGAGCATAAACAACGTCTGCAACGTTACGACACTTAAAGTTCAATGCAAAGTGCGATATTTTCTTTTAAAGAAATTGCTGTTTAAGGACTAGTGTATGACCGCAGGACTGCCACGAGCTGGAGAACACTCACACGCCGCAGAACACTCGTGTGTGTGTGTGTGTGTGTGTGTGTGTGTGCACGTTTTTGTGACAAACGAGGACATAAATGTGTATAATGACAAAGGTATGACAGGTATTACAAGGAGAAGGTGACTTTTCAGGACATTACCCCATGTCCCCCCTTTTCAAAACGCTTATAAATCACACAGAATGGAGTGTATTGAAAATCTGAAATAGCAGAAAGTCTCCTGTGAGGGGTAGGTTTAGGGGGAGGGTTGGTGTAGGGCAATAGAATATACGGTCTGTACAGTATAAAAACCATTACGCCTATGGAGAGTCCCCACTTTTCACAAAAACAAACCTGTGTGTGAGTGTGTGTGAGCGTGTGTGTGTGTGTATGAGCGTGAGTGCGAGCGCGAGCGTGAGCATGCGAGAGTGTGAGCGTGAGAGTGAGCGTGAGAGTGAGTGAGCGTGAGAGTGAGTGTGTGTGAGTGTGAGTGTGAGAGAGCGTGAGAGTGAGTGTGTGAGCGTGAGAGTGAGTGAGTGAGCGTGAGAGTGAGTGTGTGTGAGTGTATGAGTGTGAGAGAGAGTGAGTGTGAGAGAGCGTGAGTGTATGAGTGTGAGAGTGAGCGTGAGAGTGTGTGAGCGTGAGAGTGTGAGCGTGAGAGTGTGTGAGAGTGAGTGAGCGTGAGAGATCGTGAGCGTGAGAGAGCGTGAGTGTGTGTGTGTGTGTGTGTGTGTGTGTGTGTGCGCTCTCTCACTTCTGTCAGACGACCACAATGAACCCAGAAGCCTCTCCGATTGTGACGTTAGCTGAACTTAACGAGCTTCATGTGAAATAACGTGGACGTTCAGCCTCAAGACATTGGAGGTCTTGTATGATTTTAGTCTCCACCAGAAAGTCCTGTTAGTTTTTTTTTATTTCTATGTTATGACCAAATTTCTGTCATGTATAATAAATATCACAAGCATCATTTGGTGTCCTGCTTTCTGTTGTGTTCCTCTTGTGGAGGATCGCTGCCTCTCTGATGGTTTTCTCGGCTGTTAAAGGTCTGTTATCAGCTGTTTCAGATATTTTACAGAAGATCTGACACCTTAGTCTTTACCTGCAGCAGTTAAACACAGAACTTAGTCAAATTAGATTAACTAGATGTTCATGACGTTAGCTGCTGTAGAACAACATGTGATTCATTAACAGTCAAAGTCAGATCAGTGCATACGAACACACAACATGTTTCAGATTGAGAGTGACTGTCATTAACAGTGTCATCACACTGGACAAACACCAGCAAGAAAAACAAGTTCTGGTGGAAAATATATCGTTAAATACAGCAGTGTTTTGAGCTGATCCAAGGTACGGTGTTACTGTGATCTGAGCTGAAGATATCAGACACATCTGTCACTCATAAACATCTGCTGTAATATCATAAAATAGCCATTTATTTGTTGATTTTGCAAAATGTTTATCACATACTGTTGTGAATCTCTGTCCTATGTGCTCAGATTTTATGTGGTTTAAATGGTTTAATAATTATAATAAAGCTAACGCTGATAATTGTCGTCCGGTTTTCTTCTGTAACACACAAAAGAAGATCCTTAGAGAAATGCTAGTGTTTGTTGATACAGTGAAAAGTCAGTAGGCATACAATTCTTGCCAACATCTTCAAAATATCTTTTGTGTTTCGATGGAAGAAAATAAATCAACCCATTTGGAAGGACATGAGGGAGAGGATTATATTTTTGGAGCGGACTGTGAGCCGAGACTCTGATCACCTAACCGCTGTTCATAGCTTCTGTGTTTCATTACGTAATCAAGCTGAAAGTCCAATTAATGAAGGAAGCAGACCTTGTCTCGCGTGTGCAGAGAAGCACTGTGTGTTTGGACATCAGTTAATACACTAGCAATGAGCAGTACATTTGGTACATTGTTTATTCATCTTTGTTAATGATAGTTAATAAAAATATAGTTGTTCATTGTTAGTTCATTTTAGCTCTGGTCCTTTAAATAATATTAACAGGTACAGCTTTTTATTTTAGTAATACATTAGTAAATGTTGCAATTAACATTAACATTAAGATTAATAAATGTCTTAGATGTTAGTTCATTACTGTATTTGTTTAACTAATTTTAACAAATGCAACCTCATGGTAAAGTGTTTCCAAAGAAAGTTATTTATTGATGTGCATGTTTTGTCTCTTTGTGCATTCATGAGTTTGGCTGAAGAACTGATTCAGTGTGTAAAAAAAGGCAAAGATGCAGAAAATCAAACCCCTTTCCACAGCACTGTATAAGTGATGCATCTGTGTTGGAAAACTAATCGCTGTGAACAAAGCTTGAATATCAGAACAGCAGTTTTCAAAACCAAATAAAGGAGCGACAGACTGCAGGAAGATACTTTATTTGCAGAATATTCACGAGCTGATGTCCTGCTTCATTAGATTCAGTTTGTCTAATTTCTGATTATCAGGCCTGTTTAAATACCACCACATTTCAAAAGGCAAAGAAATGCTAAAACTTCAAACATAGTTTTTATGTTTCTGCACATTTATAACTGTTCATGGTTGTGTTGATCCACTTCTGTATTCATGAACATGTTCTTATTTTAAGAAACAGGGGAACAAAACCCCCAAATGTCAGAATCACTTTATGGGGAATATGTTTTCTAATGTCTAAGATGAAGTATCTGTAAACTGTCAGATGAATCTAATACACACTGACTGGATTAAGATGCATGTGTTTTTAAAAACTCATATCAGTGTTATTTAAGGTTTCTGTTTGATGGTGATTCTCTTGTGCTTGTGAACCATTCTTCGTGACTCTTATCATTAGGGTGAAGAATAAACGAATACTTCTCTCTGAGCTGGGTTTTGTATTTTGTGTGGATGTTTTGGGCTCCTGAGCGGCCCCCTGGAGTCACTGACATGCTGCAGAATCACAGAGGAGCTGAACGTCTTTCTAATGCTCAGTCAACAAACTTATATTCATCAAATTCAGGTATGATTTGCTTTGGGGAATCTCGTGATCTTCACATGAGGACGCACTGAGTGGCTCCGCAGCAGTCCTTAATGAGGGCCGCACTGCTCTTGCTGATGGAGGGTTTGTTGGCTGGAGGTTCAGTCGTTCTGGGCTTCGGAGCTCCTGCGGAGAGAAACCGAGCAGATCAGCAGAGATCACACGACTCACGTGCTTCATCCCGCCAATGCATTGTAACAAAATCATCTCAACTTTCACCCATTTGCCACTGACCTCTCAAAAAAAATCTGTGTTCGTGCTTTGGCTGGCGCTGAGCAAGAGACACGATTCTGTTGAGCTTATGAATGCAATGAGCAATCAGAGGCGTTCAGATGAGCCATGGCTGAAACACCGTGCTTTGTTCTGTGTGCGCTCTCTGATGAATTCTCTCATCACAAACAACAAATTGCAGATGTGCGTACGAATGTAAGATATTCATTTCACAGTGTAAACAGATTCAGTGATTATAATGGGAGTTTTTGAGACTTGAAGTCTTGATAATGAAATGATAATGTTCTTTGATAATGTAAATGTTCTTGCTTATAAATTACAATGTTTTTAATGTCGTAGTAAAAATATTTTAAGGCATGACTCATATCTGGTACTTAAGTAAAAAGATAATCTATAAAAGTGCATGTACTGACACATATTTGAGAATCGTGATATTTCATCATATAGTTAACACGTTTGGGAATATTTTGAATAGAAAAGGAAAAAGTAAGTAAAACATAAGCCTACTGCTGTGTGTCACATGTCAAAAAATAATAAGTAGATCTGTGAAGTCGGTCTTAAAGAGACTCTGTCTGTGTCATTAAAGTTAAACAACAAAAGACAGAAAATCACTCACTGCTCTCGACTGACTAACTGAATAACTTTAATTGTAAGTTTATTTATTTATACAGTGAAGACTATCCAGTGTTGTTTTACATTTGATTTCTTCAATTCTGAAGTATTTCTGTACCTGAATATCACTGTTAGACCTGAAAACGTAAAACACTGATTTCATTGTTATCAAATGTAGCTTTGCACACTGCCATCATCTAGAATGATTTTGATCAGTGTTTTAGTGTTCTTAGCAGGCTCTCTTAATATTTTACATTTGATATAATATTTTGTGGGCTTTACATGTGCACCCCTGAAACCACAGAACCCCCCACATAATGTATGTATGTCTGTACTTTCTTCTGCTGGAAGCTCCTGTCGTCAAGTCAAATTCCTTGTGTGTGTAAACATGCTTGGTAATAAAGCTCTTCTGATTCTGATAACAAATCCCAATTTAACCCCCGGTTAGAGTCGTGATCGCTGCCGTCACCAGGATATTTCTCGTCTGAGCTCAAATTTGTTTTGTTTCAACACTTTATTCAGTGTTTACTGTGTGCACTTCATGCTTGTTACCCAGCAACAGCCCAGCGTGACGCTGCATGCGCCGCCTGTCGTGTCATGAGCGAGCATGGGTCGTGTGACAGAAGCATCACAGATCTCTCACACAGTGCAAAACTAAATTATGTTTTATTAACAAGGTTCTGGAGGAGCAAGATCAGATAATCAACCAGTTCGTCACAGGTGGAGCTCGTTTAGTTAATCATCTTAACTAGCACAATATGTATACAGTGGTGGCCAAAATTATTAGAACACTAGTATTTTCACCAGCTAAAATTGGTTTTAAGTCAGTTATTTCTATCTTTTGCTGTAGTGTGTCATTAGGAAATATCAGTTTACATTTCCAAACCTTAATCTAATCTAATGAAGGTAGACGGCAACGACCAGCCGGCAGCTGCACAAATCTCCCCAATAGAAATTCCACTGGACAAGGCCTATGAGGAGGCCATTCCTCTGGTGGAATAGGCCCTCACACCTATAGGACATTGCAAGCCAGCTGAAGCTGGATGCGCTGACAGACAGGGCTTGCAAGTCACCTACTCGCTTGACCGAAGCTAGGGCCAAGAGCAGAGCGGTTTTGAGCATCATGACCCTTAAGCCGACTGTTTGAAGTGGCTTGGAGGGAGGCCCTCTTGACTACAGATAAGTCCCATGTTGGCACAGTCCTTAGGTGAGGAGGATTCAACCGCCGAGCACCTCTGATGAACTTAACAACCAGGTCATTTCTGCCAATTGTCCGGCCAGCCTCGGGGGAATGGTTTGCCACGATGGCTGCCACATTTGACTTTGAGTGTGGAAGGGGTGCACCCCTTATCCAACAGCTCTTGCACAAAGGTTAGCACGTGGGACACGTCACATGAAATCGGATCCTGGTTACTTGCTGAACACCAGTCACTGAAGACTGACCACTTGAGGGTGTAGAGACGCCTTGTAGATGGAGCTCTAGCCTCTAGAAAGGTATTAGTGACTCTCGCTGGGAGTTGACCTGACTCCCGTCGAGTGGCCAGGCATGAAGGCTCCACAGTTCTGGCTGGGGATGCCAAATCTTGCCCTGTGCTTGCGAGAGAAGGTCTCTCCTCAGTGGTATTGACCACGGTGCTGCAGGCATCAGCTGGATCATCTCTGGGAAACAGACTTGGTTTGGGGGGCCACAAGGAGGAAAGAGCATTTTGTTTCCCTGACTCACCTGATAACCTGGGGTAGCAGGGCGATTGCAGAGAAGGCATACAGATGGGTGTTTGGGCCAATCATGGGAAAGAGCATCACGCTGTCTTGAGAAATAGGTTGGGCAGTGATAGCGATAGGTTGACCTCTGCCTTGCCGAAAACTGTTCAAATCATCTGAACCATCTGGGGATGTAGTCTCCATTCCCCTGGAGCTACATTGTCCTTGGACAACACATCTGCTCCCTGGTTCAGTCTGCCTGGCACATGAACCGCTCGTAGTGAGAGGAGTTCTCTCTGTGCCCAAAGCAGGAGATGTCGAGTCATCCTGTGAAGGGGACGTGACCTGAGGCTGCCTTGGTGGTTGATATAGGCCACCACTGTCATGTTGTCCGAGCGGACCAAGACGTGGTGTCCCTTTAAGGCTGGCAGGAAGGTTTTCAGGGCCAGACAAACAGCCAGAAAAACTGTCTGGGAGTCAGAAAACTCTTGGCTGAATTGATTTTAAGCCCAAGACACTCTAGGTGGTTTAGCAACAATGACCTGTGAGCGACAAGTTGCAGTTCTGATTCAGCCAGCACTAGCCAGTCGTCGAGGTAGTTCAAAATGCAAATTCCCATCCGTCTCAGACGGGAAAGAGCCATGTCTATGCACTTCGTAAAAGTGCGAGGGGCCAGAGACAGTCCAAACGGAAGGACCATCTACTGATAGGCTACTCCCTCAAAAGCGAATCTCAAGAACGATGTTTGGATATTTGGATGTGAAAGTAAGCATCTTTCAGATCCACAGACAGAAACCAGTTCTCGGGCATTTTGTGCGAAGATCTGTTTCAAAGTTATCATTCTGAAAGGCTGTCGGATGAAGGCCGATTCAGATGTCTGAGATCGAGAATTGGTTTGAGCCTGCCGTCTTTCTTGGGAATTAGGAAGTATCAGCTGTTAAAGCCTGACTTGCTGTTTGGTAAAGGGACCGTTTCCACGTTACCCTTTGCAAGCAGTGTTTGCACTTCGGCTTGGAGAACATGTGCTTCATTGTCCTGCACCAAAGTCTGCATGACACGCAGATCAGGACGGCTTCTGAGTCTCTGGGTCCAGCACTACGTGAGGGTACTTCCTGGCCGTCTGGGGGCGCTGTTGAAGCCCAGGCTCCGGCTTATGCGAGAGCTGAGGTTGCGCCGTCTTTGCAGGTTGCTTAGTCGGGAGAGTCGGGAGAATGGAGCGGGAGGACAAAGATGAGCAAGACTCATGTTCTCACAATGAGAACATGAAGCCTCGGCGAGCGTAGCCTCTGTGTGGGCAATTCTCAGACAGGCAACGCACTCGCTGTGACCATCCACTTCTCGAGCCACACTCGAAGCGTCATTTGCAACAACACCGCTGAAATTTGCTCAGAAATTTGCTCTTTTTTTCCTGCGCCGGAAGGCCGCAGGGGAAAAATCTTCTTCCGCTGCCGATGGCTTCTTCAACGGTGGGGAGCATAGAGCAAGTTGAGCTTGCTTCGGCTTCTTCGGCTTTGTTGCGGAGTCAGCGAAGAGATGGTCTCGTCGCTGAAGGAGAAGATTCTGATGAGATGGTGCTCTGGGCCAATTTATATAGCAGTCGGCTCTGCCCCTTCTGGCGGGCTCGAGCGCCATTGGTTTTTGCAGCTACACAAACATTATCAAATCAGGCTTCAGTAACAGAGTAAACAGGAGTTTCCCACATAAGTTGTCAAGACGACGCAACGAGAGTTACCTTTCGATAGGGAACAGAACAAACTGAGACAGACTAAATCCAGAAGAACTGTGGCAATGTCTCCAAGACACTTCAAGAAACCTACTTGCAAAGCTCCCTGAGAAACTCTGCTCAAGTGCACCGAGGGAAAAAGCTGCTTTAAACGCAAAAGATGGTCACACCAAATTTAATTGAGCTAATAGAAGTTAACTGATAAAGAAAATGTATTTATGGCATTATTTTTGACAGCATCCTCATTTTACAGCAATTCCACCCTTGTGTTTTCGTGTGGACAGCGAATCCGTATGTTTTCTGAAATGATGATGTCATCAGCCCACGTCTCGCCCCTAGTCAGACATCGCTACGTCACGTAACAGCAACAAAAACATGAACAAACACTGAACAATTGTCTTTTTAACTAACATTAACACAGATTAATAAATGTATTGTTCCATGTTCGTTTGTATACCGCGCGCAAGGTTTATGCGCATAGTCCAAGTCTTCTTCTCCGTTTTAGTGTATCTCTGTGGCAGAATTACAGCGCCACATGCTGGTCTGGCATGTATACTACATCGTTTTGTGTCGGTTTCGTGTGGATGCAGATATTTCTTGAGACGAGGGGAAAAAAAAGATCGGATAGGGAAAGCTCTGGCTTCGTGTGGACGTAGCCTTAGTCTGTCTGAGTTTGTTCTTTTTCTTCATGTCATTCCAGACAGACTGGATAATGATCAGATCAGATCTCTGTGTGGAGCACTGGCTGTTGTCAGACAAAAATCTCACTGGATTATTACAATTAAGGGCAAAATTAATGTTTGGAAATGTAAACTGATATATTCTGCTGACACACTACAGCAAAAGATAGAATTAAAACCATTTTTAGCTAATGAAAATACTAGAGTTCTAATAATTTTGGCCACCACTGTATATACAGCCAACTTACGTCTGTCCCACTGTTCCGGCATCCCTCCTCCAGCCCAGCTCTTAAACTATTCTCATCCCATATTATGGGTGTGGGGAGTTCTCTGGGTTTGGCTATATTCTGAGCTCGGAGCCCTCCCTCAGGACAGCATGCCAAATATGCTTATTATTTGCTCAATTCGATTATATGGGCGAACTACTGACAAATGAACGTGAGAGACGGCTGTGCAAACTCTTACTCTGTATGACGCTGAGCTTCTGTCGGAGGAACTCGGCCATCTCTTTATCTTCCTCCTGCTCCCTGTGAGACAGAGACAACCAGAGAAATCTCTCAGAAACTTTCAAAGAGTACATTTGATGACAAACATCACCAATAAAAGTTGTATTCTCTGACCTCAGACGCTCGACCTCGGCATCATCCACCAGAAAATCTCTCTTCTGCACCAGCTGATGAATCTCCTGGATTAATTTCTCTTCTCTCTGACGATGTTTCTTAGTCTTCTCTGCGTCTGTGTGTTAGAAAATGCACACGTCAATCCAATCTGAGACGTGTGTGTGTGTGTGTGTGTGTGTGTGTGTATGTGTGTGTCACCTGGCACTGCCACTATCTTCCTCAGCTCCTGCTTCAGTTTCATAATATCTTTGCAGAGCTGAATATCGTCCATCCTGAGAAGAATATGAAAGAAAACCAGTCGCTCAGATTCTGTCATTTCTAGAGGAGAATCTCAGCATTTTGTTCTGAACATGTGCAGTAAATGCAGCAGCTACTCACATGAAGCGCAACTCAGATTCGCGTCTCACCAGCACCTCCCGCAGACGCTGAATCCGAGCCATTTCTGCCTCCATCTCGTCTGCAGACATGGAGCTTTCAGCCATGGACACGTCCATCTGGCCTTGGGTACAAACAGACGGTGAGTGAGAGTGTGTGTGTGAGAGAGAGAGAGAGAGTGTGTGTGTGTGTGTGTGTGTGTGTGAGTGTGTTTGAGAGAGAGAGAGAGAGAGAGTATGTGTCCATGTGTGAGTGTCATTAGGATTTGTCCCCAAAATCTTCAAACTGGCTTTTATTAAGTCTCTCATTAAAAAGCCACAACTTGACCCCAAAGAATTAATTAATTACAGACCAATCTTGAATCTCCCTTTTTCTGCAAAGATACTAGAAAAAGCAGTATCCTCACAGCTATGTTCCTTCTTATAGAAAAATGTTATCTGTGAGGATTTCCAGTTAGGATTCATCATAGTACTGAGACTGCTCTCATCAGAGTTACAAATGACCTGCTTCTATCATTCAATCGTGGTTGTATCTCTCTATTAGTGCTACTGGATCTTAGCGCTGCGTTCAACATTTTCGATAACAACATTTTTTTGAATAGTCTAGAAAATTATGTTGGAATTAGAGGAAGTGCATTGGCATGGTTCAAATCATACTTATCTGATGCATCGGGAACACTTCCAATAACACACAATGTACTTGCTACATCGTTAGAAGAATGGCATCTACGCTAATATTAGTCTGTTTCTCTCTTATACGGAGGTCACCGTAGCCACCAGATCCAGTCTGTATCCAGATCAGATGGTGGATCAGCACCTAGAGATGACTTCTACAGCCCTGAAAGTCAGCAGAGACCAGGACAACTAGATGAGCCCCAGATACTGATCCCCTGTGAAGACCTTGTCTCAGACGGCCACCGGGACAAGACCACAGGAACCAGATGAGTCCTCTGCACAATCTGACTCTGCTGCAGCTTCATCTGGCCAGAGGAGAACGGCACACTATTTCCCTGTTTAATAATGTAAAGCTGCTTTGACACAATCTGCATTGTAAAAAGCGCTATATAAATAATGGTGACTTGACTTGAGAGCGTGTGTGTGTGTGTGAGAGAGTGTGTGTGTGTGTGTGTGTGTG